CATTCTTTAGTGTCATTTATAGACAGAATATTTACTGCAAAAATATGTTTAAATTATGAAACATACACGTTCAACTGGTGCAGGTGAAAAATACTGGCTCATTTTTCATATAAAACATGAAGCTGCCTTTGTGCTATTCTTGGCAAAATAATGGAGAGCTAATTACAAAATGATTTTTCTAACCTATTTCTGTCATTAAAATCATTTAAGAAAAAAATGTTTATTTTTCCTTTTTATTGGGGGAGTGTGGTAATAGAACAGGATTTTCTTTTTCTATTTCAGTTGTTTCAAGGAAACTTTCTACAAAATGGATGCTCCTAAAATAATGTCCTTTTTCTGAATTAATTTTATTGCTATAAATACTGAAACATAGCTGGTCAAAAAGAAGGAAACATTTGCAAGTGTTTGTTTTTTGAAGTGTGAAAGCAATTTGGAAAATTTAAAGTATGTGCTAATAGTTTCCTGTATTTCCATAATTTTATTTAATTATACCTAGGGAAATGTGTTAAGATATTTAAGAAAGAAAATTTAAAGAGATTTACAACTGTGTAAAAATTCTCAAGTGGGAAAAATTGTGTTAAAATCCAGAGAATTTTCCCTCCAGATAAGGAAATTAAATAACGGAATTTTGCTTTTTGAAAACAAAAAACATAATGCCCCCATATTCTGAAGTGCCTTTATTATAAGATCAAGGCACCCAGCGGAGTACTCTTTCATTTGATTCCGTATTGTAAGAATTTTAAGAAAGTTATTTGCTTAGTAGTTCGCTGAATGGGAAGGAGGGATCGGGAACAGTTTGCCCGATGTGCAACTTTTGAACTGGAAACCACAATCTTCAAGGCCAGAGAGCAGGTTCCCTAAAATCGCCCCTGGCCGCCCCCTTGCCGGACGAGGGCTTTTTCTGACCCTCCAAAGGCGCAGGGCGCTGTTTTCGTGGCTGCCCTAAAGTACCGGCGCCAGGAGTCTGAAGACCTTTGCATTTTAGGCAATGCCGGGGTGGTGATGGGGCTGGGGGTGGGGGTAGGGGTGGGGGGGGGGCGGGGAATAAGGGCTTAGTGGTCATTTTCTGGGGTTCTCCTGATTCCTTCCCCTTTGACTTCACTTATCTTAGATTTCCGAGACTGATATCTCACAGATAAAGGGATCACATTATAAACGATATATCTGGAAGTGCAGTAAAAGTAGTAGATTGTGCCTTGCAAGGGTTGCCTTCCATAGTGGTAAAGGCAAGGGTTTCCTTTGTTTCGTGTTCTGGGGGGAAGGGGGGCGGGAGGACACATGTAAAAATCCATTAATTAGTGAGAAATCATTAGCCTTCTTCGGAAGGGTTCCACTTCTAAAGAGGAGGTGGTGATGTGCTGAATAAAGGGGAAGGTGACGAGAAAAAGGGAGAGGAAGTGTTGGGGAGGATGGAGGTGGAGGGAAGGGCTGCTCGGCTGGCCCGGGGGTCTCGGCGACCCTGGGGCGCGAACTGCGCGTGAAATTACTGAGCTGCGAACACAGCACTGGGCCTGCAGACCCCGGCTCATTTGCCGGAGAAGAGCCCCGGTGGAGTCGCTCGCAGCAGTGTTACAGCCCCTCCTCTTAGTTTTAAGAACCTAAGCATTGTTTCTGCTTTGATAAAGGTTACTCATTGCTTATGGGAAAACAACGACGGTGGGCTGTGGCACCTCTTTTGGCTCCTTGCATTGCACTGTTGGAATTAAAAACAAAACTAAACGAAAAACCGGCCAAGAACATGTGTACTTTGCTTTTTAAATGTAGAAGCCTTAGATTGTGGTACCCAATGGGCACATGATAGATTATTTACTTGATTTTTACCCCCAGTGCGTTAAAAATCTATGTAGTTATTTGAACTCATTTTAAAGATATTTTGGAAGAACTACGATAAATCAACTTACGGAAACATTTGGCTTTCACAAGTATAAAACATGCGTTTTGAGTCAAGCACAGGTCTTTCTGGCACTAAAATCAAGTAGGAAATGAGAAAAAAATTAAAACCAGAAGACTTCAGGAAGGTGACAAATTGGAAAGCATTCTAGGAGATTCATAGGACCATTTTATGTGAAAGACGCTTTCTCTGAGCTTAAAGAGATTATGTTCAGTTTTATAAAAGGATCTTAGGCTCAAAAGACAAGGGTGGGGGAAAGGAAAGACCAATCTATGTAAAAGATAGTGCCATATCCCCGAAATGGTGGTATTTTCTTATTGTCTCTGTTCACTTTTCTCCCAAATTTCCTTCCCTCCTCCTCCTCCTCCTCTTCCCTTCTCTCCCCCTTTCTTTTACCCAACCCCCAGGTATGTAAATGCAGTTGCCTTAAATTCTTTGTGAATGAACATTAGAGGATTTCTCAGAGTTCCCAGTTGGAAAAAGCCTTCCACACAACTTGAAAGGCTGATGTCCCTCTCAGGAAATGAATGAGTCGATAACCTCTGACACCAGTGACCAGTCCAGTGAACCCTACCTTAATTCCACTAATACTGGAGGCCCCCAATCAGGCAAGACTGAATCTCATATCATACTGTGTGGTTCAGTTATGGTATTTCACACTTTTAAGCTGTGTATCGGTAGGTTTGAATTTCATCAAATTTAACAATAAACAAGGATTCAGAATCCACCTATAGTTTGGGATTTTATTAAACTTTTCTAATTAAGACAAACTTACAGATAAAATATCATGTACTATAAATGTATGTCAATGACAGCTAAACTGTACTGGCTTGTGAATTTTATGACAATTGGGTTTACATGAATAATAGCTTTCCCCCTCAAGTTACATGCATACTTTTCCAGATTATTTTTCTGTTACCCAGATGTTGATTTTTTAAAGTAAATCTGTCATTTAAAATATTTTTAAAAGGCACATAACTTAGTTTAGTATTTTCTATTTTGTGAAATGTTTAACCTCAAATGAATGCCCTTGTTAAAGTTACTTCATTATAGGTTAGTTGCTTTTTTATTAAAAATAATGCCTAGTAAATGTTTTGTTAACAAATAATTTTTTGAGAGCTTTGAGCTTTTGTTACTCCTTCCAAATCATTTGGATTTTCACGCTTTTTCTTTCCTCCCTACCAAGGTTTATACCCCCTTTCATGGGAAACAACAAAATAAACAGACAAAAAGTCTTTACAAATTCATCTGTCTTTATTGAAGCCTTTTACCATTAGACTGCCTAAAATAGCATATATATATATATATATATATATATATATATATATATATACATATATATATCTCCACTTATTTCAGATCTGAACCAATTAGTATACATTTATATTTACTTGTTCAGTGGGAGGAGGAGGTGTGCATAGATGCCATATGTGGATTTTTCAGAAGGTCTTGGATTCAGGCTCCCTGCATTTCAGTTTGTGTGAAACAGTGTTGGTTAGGAGTGTTAAGAGTTAGCAGTGTGGACATGTTTGGAGACACCCGAGGGGATTGCGGGTTTGGTGGGGGAGGGTCAACTCGGTAGCGTTGCCTAAGGGAAGTGGTATCTGTACAGTTTCTCTGTAAACTGCTTGTTTAAGAAAATGGGAGGTGGGGAGGGGGAAAGAGTAGTGGTGCGTTTAAATGTTTGAAAAACGGGTGATGCTTTATATTTTAAAGGAAGTAAGTCATTTCTATTTGATCTATAATATTTATTGTAGTGTTCCATGAGGGCGGTAATATTGGTGTCAGTATCTAGTAATCTGCAATCATTTGAACCGATTTGAAAGGTAAAGGGAAAGCATTTTGAAACTGGGGCGGGCGAAACGGGGTAGGAGCCTAATCCGTTATTAAATTTTCATTTATTCGACTCTTCTATCCACTGGTAAAATGTCACGGTCCAGTCAATATTCTATGAATTTACCTTTTTGTCTCCCACTTGCCTCTCTTTCTTTACCCTTCCCCCCACCAGCGCCCGATTTTCTCTCCCCCACCTCTTTCTCTAGCTCTGCAGCCGCCTCTACTGGCCGCCCCCTTCACCTCCCTGCCTGGCGCACCCCTCCCCCTCCCTGCCCTACCTCGTCTTGCTCTTGGGGAACAATCGCCAGTGATTGAGGTTCACTCGATGTTAAGCTGGAAAACTGGGCTGTTATTTAGGAAGTCATTAATCACATCTCCTCCCCCCGGAAAGAGATGGCGGAAAAACCTGTGAAGTACAGTTCCTTACCAACCCCCTCCAAAATGTTGCGAATTGATAAACGTAAACACAATTTGACTACATGAAGGTGATAGCGATTTTTCCAGTAGGATTTTATTTTGAATTTGAAAGATTTCAGGGCACATTCAGGTAATCGTGTGCTTTTGTCTTGTTGTAGGTGTATATTATCATCTGAACTTTCATGGGGATGTAATTAGGTTTAATTAGATATTTTGTAAATTATATATTCTCTAAGAACTGAATTAAATAGGAGATTTGTGTCCAAAGCCGGTTTGCTGCTGTCGAGCTGCTGAATTCTTAAGGGGGAAAAAAGCGTAACCTCGGTTGCTTTATTTAAATGGCTCTTTTCCCCCTAAATGAGATTATTTGGACAGGCTTATGTGTAAGGCACGCGTGTGCACATATATGACTGTGCTGTTTTTCTTAACGATTCACAAGGAACCTCCATTGTGTTTAAATAAAAGCACGAAATCAGCATTCTGTTTTATCGTAAAGAAGCGTCCCAAATTGTCTTTAAGGTAACGTGTTTGAGTTTTTCGTGTTCATTCATAAATTATTTTGATGTCAGCGTAGATGAAATGGCGATTGGTTATCTCTTCCTCTTGCCAGCCCCTTAAGGATCCGAGGTGAAATTAGTAGCAAGAAAGCATGTAATTGACAAAGTCACGTGTGCTCAGGGGGCCAGAAACTGGAGAGAGAAGAGAAAAAAATCAAAAGAGGGAAAGCACATTAGACCATGCGAGCTAAATTTGTGATCGCACAAAATCAAGATGTTAGATTGATGCAGAAGATCACTCCGTTGCAAAGGGAAAGTTTTCATCTCACGAGTTTGGAGCAGAGGGCCCGTGGGGCAACATGGCCGAAGGTTAATTTTCTTTTCTATTGTTTTACTGTGATTTTCTCTCTTCCTTTCTCTCCCCCTCCCCCTCTCCCACCCTTCTTTGCCCGTCCCCCCCTTCCTGGTTATACCCCAATACTGGGCATTTCCCCCACCCTCCATCGCGCAAGGGGGCTTTCTGCAACCTATTGTTACAGATCTCCAAAAATGTTTTGTACCGCCCACACTGATTCACAACTTGAAAAGCTTTCAGTGGGCTATTGTTTGAATTGTTTGAGTGTGATTAAGCGCAGTTTCAGTTAGTGAGCCCAAGAAAACTTTTATACACCTGCCCCCTCCCCCATCCCACCCCAACTTTAATTGAAAGTTATGGGGGGAGGGGAATGCACATTGCAGATAACCCCGGGTTCGCTGCCGCCGCATGTGCATTTAAACTAGTTCTAACCATCTTCGCATTTCTCTTTCCTCCTGGTGCCCGCCCGAGAGAAGAGTTTCGCTGAAAATTTCTCTTTGTGAATGGGATCAGTGTTAAATCAGCAATATGCAAGTAAAGTATCTCATGCTGTACTGTAATGTGTGCCTGAAAAAAATGGAGTTAAATGAAAAAGGACACGTCTGTACAGAACCGTGCAAGTGGATGTGATCGATAGAACAGTGTGGCTTCCCCTCCCCCGCTTCCCTTTTTAACTATTTTCATTTTAAATATTTTCTGTAGAAGGAAAGTAGGAATCAGCCATTTAATCGCGTTTTCTTATTTCCTTCTCCTTCCCCTCCCTGCCCCTAACCAGTGTCCCCCCCCTCCCCCCCCCTCTTTCAATGAGCTGTATGGCAATACAGACTAACTGACTTTTTTGTCCTGTTCTACTCAGGCGGGGCAAGCAAAGGTGGTGGAGAAGAGCCCGGGAAGCTGCCGCAGCAGGCAGAGGAGGAATCCCAGGTTTTGCACGGAACTGGCCACTGTAAGTGGTTCAATGTGCGAATGGGATTTGGATTCATCTCCATGATAAACCGAGAGGGAAGACCCTTGGATATTCCAGTCGATGTATTCGTACACCAAGTAAGCCAACCCCCCCTCCCCCCCCCGACTCCCCCGCCGCCCTTCACCTTTTTCCACGTGGAGTTGATAAAGTAGTTTTGTCAGTGGCTATACAATAATGTGCCCTTGGGTGTATTGAAAGACAAAAATCTTCCTTCTAGTCACGAGTTAATACAGTTTTTAGGGCTGTACGGCTCTCTTCCTGAGTATATTTCCTAAACAGAAAATGAAATCTATGAAATTTTACTGCTTGGGTGCTTGTTGACTTTAATAGCAAGTTCCCTCTCTTCATTCGACAGTGAAATTGCAGTGGTGTAGCTTCCGGTGTTATCCGTTACAATGTACTCTGTCGCCTACGCCTAGTAAATGAGTAGGTAAATGAATGAAGAAACGGCGGCCGTTTTAAGTTTTAAAAACACACGACACAATAGTTTGCTGTGGAAATCTGTAGGTCCCTGTATTTTAGACATCTCTAGTCAATAGCTTTTCCTGTTCATCTCTGCCTGTCCGGTAGACATTTATACATGTAAGTTAAAATAATTTGATTTTACACTGAAATAAAGTAGAACACTGTAAGCCTAGTATTGGATTTGCAGAAATACAAGAGTGGATGCTTAGTAATCAAACATTTTAGAAATGTGCTTCATGTAGGGCTTATGTCCAAGGATACTGTCTCTTTAAGAGACTGAACTAAAAAAACATGTGGCCAGAGGCGGCTCTAGCTTGTATGTTTAAAATGTGCTAGTCTGCTACTTCAGGGTAAATTTCCACCATTCCTTATAGTGTGTTGTAATTTTTTAAGATGCTTAATACCAAGCAGAATGTTATTGCTTCTCATTTTAAATTTTTTACGCAGAAACAAATTAATACCTCATCCCCTTTCAATCCACTCATCTCTGTTACTTAATCTCTTTATAGTAAAAAAGATAATTTACAGTTTGCAAGTTTGATAATTTCATTAAAGGAAGTTAAAGAACTATTCTCTGTAATTCTTAGATAGGCGTAAAGGGATTTAAGAGTGAAGAGGTTTACTTTGTCTTGACATCTAAGTTAAAAAGAATTCAGTGAATGGCTATCAATATACTACAGGTTGACTGACAGTAGATGCAGGAAATAGTCTGTTTGCATGAAAAGTCTATATCTTATTTGATACTATGTTGCATGTTCCTGGTAATATTTACAGCCGCCTTTCTCCCTACGGAATATCATCTCCAAATTAAGTATATAAACAATAGAAACACATGAAACCATTCTGTTTTGATCTGTTGTCCTGTAGTGCTTGGTAGCTTCCTGACCTTGCTGTGTGGTGTGTGTTTTCCTTTCCTAAAGGCCTGGCCATCATTATTGGCTGTTTATATGTGGAAGGATCAGCATAATCTGTGAATTGAAACAGGGTTTAAATACATAAATAGAAGTGCACAGACAGGCTACTGAATTTTATGCCTCCTACTTTATGTTGCACAATGAAACCACATTTTCTGCAGAGTGACTGAAATCACTGACAGATCTAGTTCTGTCAGGCCCTGGCTTTCCCCGCTTTGAACCTTCTTTAGGTTGTTAAATTGTTCTTTACGATCTCATAAATTTGTTTTATAGATGAATGAAAAAAATACCCCTTTTCTTCTTTGATCACACCTTGTTATAATTTGGTTTTCTGTGTTTACCTTTAATATATTCAAATATTAGACATCTTATTAATTAAATATTTAGAACCACAAGACATCCAAATTTAAGCTGTTAAATGGTTATATATTGATAAACATTCCTATAGCCACTAAATTTAGAAATGTTATATTGCTGAAAAAGTTTTATAGAGAGCAAACCATTTCCAGTGTACAGTAATTGATTATTAAAGACTTGCTTTAATCTTCTGTTACACATTATGTGTTTACTAAAGAACAATATTAAAATGACATGTGATAAAAATGCTCTTTAAATATATGTATTTGTATTCTTCAGAAGAATATATCTAGATACATTCTTAGGAAGAAGTATGTAAAAAGTCAATAAAACTTAAGTATTAGTGTTTTTTGTGATGTTAAAAGTCAGGCAGTGGTAATCTTTAACTTTAAAATTAGAAAGTGATATTTTAGGGAATTTTTTATGGTAAAAATATATCTAGGAAAAATTACTTGGGTATTAATCACCTTATTTTTTTGTATCTTCACTTTGATACCTGAGTTTCTGTCTTATATTGTGACTTAATGTATATTACATATAAATTATATGAATAATTGTTTGGAAGAAGGCAGGAATCCTGATTTTAGCCAAGCAACTATAAGTAACAATTTGATGGTCATAAATGATATGTGTAGCATCATGTGAACATTGCTTTTGCTTATACAATCAGGTTGCAATTCAGGACAATTTTATAAATATCTTTTAAATCTTTTAAATTATTTATGCTGCCAATTTTACTGTCTGAGCATTTTGAAAGCGTACTAGGTTTTATGTATAATTATAAATTAGATTCCCTCCCCCATTATGTCTCTATATTTTTTTGTTATGAAAGAATAGGCATGGGTATTTTGGGAATTTTGAAATGTTTTCCTGGACTGAGATCTACTCATTATTTTAAATATATGACATGAGTGTTTTTTGAGTGTTCAGAAGTGTATGTGGTTTTGGATTTTAAAAAAAATTTGAAAACATTTTTAATACTATATACGTGGGGAAATAAAAATAAATTATTTTATTTACTTTAAAATAATATTTTAAAATTCATGCTGTCACCAGGATATATTTTTTTTTCTTTTGAAAATATTGACTGCAAAGAACTGCACATCAAAAACAATTAAGTTGCTAGGAAATTAACAATACATTTATATATATATATATATATATATATATATATATATATATACATACATACATATATATATTTGTTCATTGTTACATAGATCTACTTAAAATTTTTTGGTAGTAATACTATCAAACTTCTAGTTCTCTAATGTTACCAGGTCCTCCAAAAGAAACACATGACTGAGGTATTGTACTTCCTCTACCTTTAGATTGTTTGATATAGGCAGTGAAATTCTGCTGTCTGGAGACAGTGTGCAACCATTGGTGGTTTAAAATGACAGACTCATCTTAATTTCTAATGTTAACTTGTGATTTAAATCATCCTATATTTGTGAACTATTAATAAATTCAAATGTATTTTGACACATAATACTGAAACATTGGTGGCATTCAATAAGGAATATTTTTTACAAACTTAACAATACTGTGTAAATATATTTGTGAATTTTGGCAGCACACAGTTTGAGGTATTCCTTAAAATTTTAATATTTGACAATTTTGATGGTTTAATTTGTCAGTATGATTAATTTGTAGGAATATCTTAATTAAAAATCCAATGGGAAACAGATTTGTCTCTCAATTGAAGGAAGGGTGTACATGGTCAATACAGATTTGTAGCCTAGGTTCCTGCTAAGGTGATTTCATCAATTAGAATATGACCATTTCTTAAGTGCTAATAATTAATACTCCTATCAGTTTATTGTTAATAAATCTTTTAAATGTCCATCCACAGTTAGATTGTGGGCTGACATGTTTAAATGATCTGGAAAGGTCTCTGGCAACTTCTTGAAATATTATAAGCTTTTAATAGGCTTAAATAATGATGGTACTTTAGATGAATTGCATGGTAATTCAATATTAGGTCTTTTTTGGAGAAGAGCAATATTCCCCAATAACTACCAGTTGATATTTGCTATCCTGTAAGTTTTCCTTACATATATTTTGACATTTATGTCCAGTCATTTTCTCTTCTAATCAGATAAAATGATCATTTGAAATTTATTTTGTTTAGGGGAAAAATAGAATCCATTCTCCTTATTGCCCTCTCTTAAGCTTATTTGCATAATAATATTTCTTCACTTATTGGATTGTATTTTAAATTCTTGGCCATCAAATATGGTACAAAGATTTTTTGACATAAATTATTTCTTTTTTTTCACAATTTATGTAAGAATTTTTTTCAAAGACAGAGAAATTCAAGATGATAGCAATTTAGCTAGTATTACTCAGTAGGCTTAAGTATTTTTTAATAATTTGGTTTTGAGTTCTTCATTTACCTTTGTAGTATTGATGTTTCCTTCCTATGCTCTGTATTTCTGACCTGTAGTTTAATCTTTATGAAGGATACAAATGTCCATATTAGAAAGATTTTATGTTCCTTTTATTTCTTTGCTTAGAAAACATCTCAAAGAGTAATGGAAATAGAATAAATAAGAAAAATTATTGTAACGTAAATTTAAAGTATTTTATTAATAGTATAAGATTTGAAAACATTTGCAGATGACTAATTTATTATTTTATAAGTACCGCACGCTAACTGATTGCGCCACTGGAGCTCCGGCCGCTATTATTTTAAATGTTTATTTTATTTGAGAGAGAGAGAGAAGCATCAATTTGTTGTTCTACTTATTTATGTGTTCATTTGTTGATTCTTGTATGTGCCTGTACCTGGGATGGAGCCCACAACCTTTGTATATGGGGGCGATCCTCTAAACAACTGAGCTACGCACCCAGGGTGGACATGACTAATTTATATATATGAAAATTTCAAGTATTATACACAATTCAGTTGATGTATCATAAAGTACGTAGTGTAAATGTTTTCAATATTAATTAATTACACAACCTGTGAAAACAGATTTACTCCAATATGTTCATGCTTAAGGGCTTTTCATAGCATTTTATCTACTATATTTTTGTCATAGTTAGGCATGAAAACATTTTTCACATGCAGAAGAGATGTGATTATTATTATTCTCAGGACTGTTGATTATTTTAATTTCAAAAAGTTTATTTAGACAGAGAAATCTTAGACATTTTAAAACATGAACATATGATAATTGTAGCTCATTTCTTAGAAAGTTATAGATTTTAATACTTTGAAAATAGTTCCTCAGCCTATCAAATTTTCATGATTTGCCCGGTTGACCAATTTGGAAGAATCCCAAATGAAATGCCCTTAATGTAATCACATTTAAAAGCACTTAAATCAAAGTTTT